TATTCTGTGCAGCTTTATCACATTTTCTGCATAAAGAAACCTAAGTGTTCTATGATTCTGATCAACTCAACATCTGATATAGCATGAAATCTCTATTTTAAGAATTTCCTGTGAGATGCATGAGGATATTTCTGAAGTCAGCTTGGGAAAACTTGCAGCAGTTTTCATGATGCTGTTAGACTTCTTGCTTGTCATGGCAGATGCCAACTCATTATTGCTTTAATCTTCTTTTCATGTCCTAAGTCTTGGAACTTGTTTTGTTATATCCAAGTAGAGTTATTCACTAACATTTTTAAACAATATGATCTAAAATTATAAATTTAGTATGCAAATATTCTGCAAGAAAAATCTGCAAACATAAGTGTTTAGCAAAGTAAATGTTGCATTCTCTTGCTGGATTAATGTAAACTGCTTTGTTTGCAGGGTGTTTTGCCATCCCAAAACCAGGCCAATTCTCCAAGTGGAACTGTAGTATAGCCACCACACTCCTCCTAGCAAACCTTTGAACACAGAACAAGAAGTAATGACAATGGAACCAGGAGCTGCTGTTCAGCCAGAGAGCATCACAAATTCTTAAAAGGCAGAGTGTTATGTGAATCACATAGTGTTTTACAAAATAATTCTGTAATGAGTTATATTTTTACATCTAATACTTCGAAGGCTGCTCACCTAAGGAAGAATTTTGCTTAAAAATGCTTCTTTTGGTGCTACAATTAAAAATCACAATTGCTTTATATTTCTCAGTGTAATTTAATCACATACTTACATTCACACACATCTACACTTGTAAAATAAAATGTTTCTTAAATCCAAGTAAGTTTAATGGTGTTATACATTAGAATATTACTGTTGAGTTTTTTCTTTGCACTGCTTTTTTTAAATTCAGAAATGGTTAACCTGAAAAGCTCTCATGGGAAATTAAAGTCATTACTTTCTGGTTTCACAAATGTAATTCAGGAAGATGGATGCTACAATCATAGGTTTTTCTAAAAAGATTGTTTGCACTTAAATAGCATAATGCTAGAGGATAATTACTTTTAAAATGGGTGTTTGGGAACCCTCTAAAGTTATGTTATAAAGAAACAAATCCTTTGTATCAAACATTTTATTTTAATAAAGTTTCAGCTACAGTCAATCTGTATTATATATGTAAATAATGTAATTCAGTGATTGGGGAAATCATTACATTAGTAATTTTAATCATTTAAGGAAGTGATATTTCTAATTCAAAAATACATATTAAACTATCTTGAATATGCAGTTTTGTTTACCTTCTGTTTAAATCACCTTTGATGTAACTTTTTGAATGTCATATTTTTGGTATGGACATGATTTAAATTCTTGTAGATGTTATTTCTGAAAACACTCAGGTCAGATTTAGGAGTTATTGAACTGGGCTTTTATTAGTAGGTGTTATTTTCCTGCACTTTATTCTAAATGGCTTTTCCTCAGTACGGTTTAGAACACTACAAAGTTCTTAAGCCTAGTTTTTAAAATATATGTTAATTAACAGCGGTCGTCACCATTTTCATGCATTGGGAAACTATAATATTCTGTTAATGTGATTAGAAACACTAAAATGTTTATTTAAAATTATTGTAACAATAGGCTGCCACTGTAGAATAATGTGCCAAAGTACATAGTTCTCCTGTTTCAATGAAAAATGGATGCCTTGTTGGAGGATAAATATGAGAGTCTGCATAATTAAATTGCTGCTTGGTTAGTTCTATTAAACTAATTTTGAACACACTGAAATCTGAAGAATCCCCTTCAGTTTTTTTTTTCTTGAAGAAAATGCTGTCTGCTTGATAGTGGAATTATGCGGCGGAGGATTCCTCTCTAGAAATCAGATCAAGAGGCAGAAAATTCCCAGATTCTTGTCAAAATGGTATCAGCATTTCAGCCATTGTGAAGCAAGCCCTGCCCCCTTTCTTGTAGGCCTGGAGCCTCAGGATGCACATAGAAAAAGAAGTAGAGCTTGCATTACAACCATTCAGTTCTGCTTTCTTCACACACCCCCTTCTCTCCGCCCTCCTGCCCCCCCCAGGTCTATGAAAAGTCCTGATTTTTTTTTCCTTAACAGATGTTGCAGAGTTATTTCCCTCTTTATCCCCGTGCCAATCTTATTTGATGGCAGTTCTGAAGCAGAACAACTGGGGAAGCAAAGAGCTTATTTGAATACTTGTGGTTGCAACATAGTCTAATTTTCTGGAAAAAAAAACTGAGTGCTAAAGGCTGCAATTCACAGACCACTTTTTGATAAATAATGTTCTGTTTCAAAGTTGTATATGATTGATTGTGCAGATAATCCTGCTTATTTGCTGGATTTCCACAGTTCCATATTTTTAACATTGCCCTGCACACTGTTTGAAACAGTGTTTCAGTAGTGTCTGCAATACATTACTATCCTTTGGGCTGCATATAAGCCCTTTGACATACTCCAAAGTGTTTTGGGGCTTATAGTAACTACTTTCAAAATTAGTACAAAATAACTAAATAGTGCCAGGCTATTTTTGATTGCATAATACAAACTGCTAGCGAAAGCAAAATAAAAGTGCTATTTTAACTACTGTGCAGTGGCAGGTTTAAGATTTTAGGGAAGACATTTTTATGCCTTAAGAAGAAATCATAGCTTGCTTCACACTTTGATAAGCCTTAAACATGAATTATATATTATAATGGCTGGATTCATACATCATGCTAAGCCAAAACTACATAAGCCATATAAAGGCTCAGCACAGTGTGTGAACCAGCTGCTTAAAACCCAGAATTTGGATTTAACTGTGAACACAATGTTTCTCTCCACAGAAGGCATTTCATCCTGTGGAGGCAGAAGGGGCTGCTTTTGCTGAGTCTGTCTCTGCAAAAATGGTTTTGGGGGAGGGCAGTCATCACAGAATTGCTTCTTCCCTTTCTGCCGCTGTGAGCCAACTCTGGAAATCGGTATGTATAATTATACTTTTAGAAGCAAGAAACACTAAGTGGTTCAACCAAAACATCTTCTTTAGAAATAAAAATAATAAAAAATAAGCATAATTCTGGAGTAAAATTGCTGTGGAACTAAAAAGCAGGAGGAAAAACAGGCTTAAAAAACAGTTAATACTGAGATTTAAGGAACACAAAGTGCAGAGAATCCATTTTTTTAGTGTAAACCCAGGTCAAGTAATTCCTCTGAAAATTTCTGTGTACGAAGAGAGGGGAAATCACTTGCTGGTGTTTGCCTAATTCTGAAAAAAGTCCTCACTTTTGAAGAACAAAATTACAGCTTTTACAAAATAAAATAGTCTAGCCTATCAAGCATCTGAGTAGGCTTCTAGATAATGCTATGCTAAAACATTAAAAAGCTGAACAGGAACATTTGGGGAAACTTGCCACTTCTCACTATGCATGACACACTCAAGCAGTTGTGCAGGTCTACCATTTCTTGGTTAGGAAGTTACATGCTGCCATCCTGCTTGCTTTTGCAATTATAAAATCTACAACCTTTTTTTTAAAAAAATTACATTGTACTGTATTACAAGTTATTCAACATGAACAGAAGTTGCCTTACTGTCAAATATCTAAGCATACCTAAAAACAGTATATGTTCTTAATTTTTTCCTTCTGTTTCCAAAATTGTCAAGTAATTTGTCCTCAATATGTTAATGGGAGATGAATCTCAGACTTAGTTTCCAATGAAATACAATGTGCTTTTGATTATGTATATATGTAGAGAATAATTTGAGAATATAATGTACAAGGGCTTTTATTGTTTAAGGGATGAAATCATAAAGTATATTACTTTATCAAATCAGACTTCTTCATATTGGGTGTATTTAGTCTGGTATTGCATCTTTGAGATATTAAACAAAATTTTGTCATCACCTGGGGGAGACTGCGCCTGACTGTGAACGGGCAAAATCTCTTCTTGAGCATTTCCTTCTTGAGTGCTCTTGAGAGTAAACATTTTCATGTTTTGGCTATTTGAAGAGAGCTTTCAGACGTCTAAAGGCAAAGTAGCTGCTTTTCATGCAATAAAATAAATACATAACTAAAACATTTTTAGAAGTTTGTAAATTGACTAGAGATTCTATGATATTTCAACTCTAATCAAATCACAATGCACTTTATTCAATACTATAGGTGCCTTGTTTTAAATTATAAGATCCTAGAATAAACTTCTAATGTTCTGGATATGACTAAAGCCAGTAACTATATGAAATAATGCTTCTGCGTTGTGAACATAAGCATTCCTAAAGGATATTTTTCCATCCTTTGTAGCCTTTAGCACAGGGGGCCCCAGGCCGTAGCACAGTCCTGTCTTGTTCAGAACCAGGCCATGCAAGCAGTGGGTGAGTGTGTGCGCGAAGTTCCACTTGTGTAAGCAGTGGGTGTTCACACAGGTGCGCGCAGACAAAAAGCTCAATTCGTGCGAGTGGTCAGCATATGTGCATACCTGCCACTCACTCAGAATCATCCCCTCTCCCACCAGTCAACCATGCTGGAAAGGTTGGGAGCTGCTGTTTTAATATAGATTTAGATCGATTACATTTGAGAATTTTACTCACAATTTCCTGCTGGAGAGTTTTTTTGGGAGGGGGAATTAATACCAGTAATAGAGTTGGAAGAAACCTTGATGATCTTGTCCAACCCCTGCTCAAGGAGGAAACCCAATACAATTTCAGACAAATGGTTGTCCAATCTCTTCTTACAAACTTCCAGTGTTGGAACACCACAACTTCTGAAGACAAGTGGTTCCACTGATTAATTGTTCTGTCAGGAAATTTCTCCTTAGTTCTAGGTTGCTTCTCTGCTTGATTAGTTCCATCTATTTCTTCTTGTCCTGCCTTCAGGTGCTTTGTGGAAGCCCCTTAAATATTGGAACACTGCTATCATGTCACCCCAGCCCTCCTTTTCATTAAATTAGACACTCAATTCCTGCAACCCTTCTTCATATGGGTTTATCCTTCAGTCCCCTAATAATCTTTATTGCTCTTCTCTGCACTCTTTTCAGAGTCTCAACATCATTTTATATCAGGTAACTAAAACTGATAGAATATTCATCCAGTTACAAAAATGCAGATGCAAAAATAATGCTCTTCAAATTCTAAATTTCAAATTAAGTTCCTATCTTTCCCAAAAGAAAACCTTATCCTGAAGACGTTTGATTCTGTGTGAAATAATATGAAAATTCTTCAAAATAAATCTCAATCCTCCCATAGTTTTTGTACAAAATATAAATAATGGCAATATTACCGGTTTATGACTACTGAATCCTCAAGCAAATTATTGCCTTCATATAGGAAGAAAAATACAGCAGTTTTAGAACTTGCTTTATGTATTGTTATTGCATTTGTGTTATTTTTGTGACTTTTCAGCAAACTTTACCATTGTGCTTTCCTTTCTCAAAGATATAGTCCAGCCTTAGCTCTCTTTTTGCCACTTTATTGAAGCATTGCTATTTGGCTGTTATTTAAGGTGCAGCTGTTATACAGTATCAATATTTTTTACTCTAGTGCAATACATCGTTTTTTTCTTGTTACAGAGTAATGGTATTTGACAGTTCTTTGTGAGAGGACACGATACTTGATCTCATAATAATCCTATAAAAATCTTCTTAAGTTCTTTAATTTATTTTTACTGATACCTCTAGAAAAGCTAAACTAAATGCCCTTTAGAGTGGATTATTTCCTCCAACACAAGAGTTTCAAACATCATGGCCTTTTCAAAACAAATGTGTAACGTTCTACATTGAACTATGCCAGTGTGACAATATACCTCAACCGAAAGCTTACTTATAGTTTTCTATACAAGAGAATATTGAGTAATGACTGATCTTTTCCATCTACCATCCAAAAACCTGCTAATTTATATTGTTTCAGAACACAAATTTGTATAGGTTATATTTAAATTTTGAAGTTTCTAAATGATAAAAATTGGCTCTGATTATCCCTATGATCATATGTACAACCCCCTCCCCCAGAAATTGACTTTTTAATTTATTTATTATTTATATATATCTATAAACACAATGTAGTATTTGATATAAAAGTTGGAACAATTCACTCCTGCCAGTGCAACACCGTTAAATAAATGATCATCTTTGAAGAAAACTTAAAAAAAAATAGGAACTCCTTTAAAAAAATCAAAGTGCATTCTGAGCTATAAAAATGGTGGTTACATTGTTGACTTGTAAAAAAAATGGGTAAGTCCCAAATAACGATTGTTGTAGCTTCTTGTTGCAGCATTTGAGATGATAAGGCACTACTGCCATTTGTGTACTAAAAATCCAGACAACTCATGACTGTTTTGATCCATCAAAATCTTCCACCTCGTCTTTCCAGAGCAGGCAGGTGGTACTGTTTCATAGGAGATTTAAATTCCTTCTGTTTTTCAGACTGTTGATGAGACAATAGAAGTTAAAATGAGCTATAATCTACTTGTACAAAATAGCATGTAATCTAATAAGCAAGGCAAAATTACCTTGCAGTGTGTCCCAAAATATGTTATAGGCTGCAAAACCTGGACTTGTCTGTTGGATGCTGGGAGGGTAAAAACTGACTGAAATGAAGGATTAGGGTAAGAAGTCAAGTTGGTTACAGCAGGAACTGTCAGTTTTGGCAACTCAACTGCATTGGGAAGTCCATGAAGTCCCAGTGGATTCTCCTGGGCTTGCCTAAAAAAGTTCTTTTAAAAAAAAAATACAAATTCAATTTTTGAAAATAATGTTATGTAGGCTAAATGTGTTTGATCACCTCACATATGCTTTAGGATGGTTTAGATATTGCAATCTGTGCAGTTACTCCCAAATATATGTAAAGTTCTACCCAAACTTTTCTTAAGGAAGATTGCTGCTTGCCTTTGGAATGATCTCATCATATGGAAGCATGGTGTCAGTGGAAGCCTTTATATAGTTAGATTAATAAAGGGAAAGAGAATTAAAAAGTAGCAATTACATTCTATATATTTTTAAAAGAGTAGCCAAATTACGTTCCAGTATTTTCAGACTTTCAAGGGTGTATATGTTGAAAGTGGATATTTGTTTGGAAAATTGGCCTATAGTCTTTGATGTTTTATTTGTAAAATTGAGCCTTAGAACCTTAGAAGATGTCTTCTTGGAATATATCCTTAAAAGTTTTCTAAGCCTTAGAATGACACAATTTCCTTCCTTTCTTATTCTTTAATTGGCATAAAAATTTATTCCTTGAGTGTGTAAACAAGGCGAGGAACATCCATCATATTTTACAAAGAATTAGATAAACCCTAGAAATGTGGTACTGCTAGCTTAAATCTGGTGTGTCTAGAATTCTGCAACAAAATACAGGAATGTACTATAATTAATTAATTTTTGTTCTCCAAGTATGATTCTGGGGTTTTGGGGGGGGGGGGGAGGAGATGAAGGTAGAGAATGGATTAAAATAAACTTTGGGAATCATTGGACAGTTTTGTAGATATCCTTAATATTCCCAGAATAACTGGAAAGTTGGCAGAATCAAACACTCCATAATTATTATATATTGATTGCATGAACCTAGATGTAAATTGGATAATTTCCAGAAAAAGCATATGACTAGTTAATTCCAGCACTATTTTGAATGTCCTCAAAGACTTCCTACAAAATATCAGGAGCTATATATATATATAGCATATCTAAAACTAAACTATTATACTATTCCATGCATTGCATGCATAAGAGATAATGGTATAAATTTAAAAAAGCCTTTCTGAACCTGTAAATCACAAATAGGTGTTCAATAGTTAAAACAGCAAAAAATCATTAAAAATGCTAGAATCTTTTGATTAATTAAAGGACAAAATTGACATAGTGTGTGTGAACAAAAATGGCAGTAATTAAATAGGTTTATTACTCAGTCTTTGATTTAAAGATTACCTGCCTTTGATCCTCCTTTGAAACACGCCGCAAGCCAATAGAATCCCTTTCTAATGGATTTTCTACTAATCTCATTTTTCGGTGTATGGTTAAAGCTTGTTTCTCTGCCAACCTGTTTAGCGTAAGTCAGATAAAATCTCATATATGACTTTTAAATTTTTTCCCATCAATTAGACAATCAAATCACTCACTTCCCCCCTTTAGACGTATTAAACAATGACTTGAAATGCAAATGCTAAATACTTAAAACTAAGTATTAACTTAAATTATTAGCTTAGTTGATCAAATAGGTTCAAGCTTAGTTATTTTAAATCTTAGCTACCTTGATACATTTTTCAACTGAATATTGATTCAAAATCAAAATTTATTTTACATTCCCTTACCTTAATTCTCTGAAATAAGGGTGTTGAAGTGCTTCATGAGCACCGATTCTCTCATCAGGATCATACTGTATCATTGCATACATAAGTGTCAGGCTCTTATTAGACAGGTTAGGGATAAATGGAGAGATTCCTTTTCCTTTTCTGGTGGGGAAATCAAAACTCATCACCCTTGACCTGCATAAATCCAGTGAAAGAAAATGCATTCCTGTCAGCAGAGTCAGTCTTATTGCTATTGAAAGAATACAAAAGAAGTTTCAGTTTCAAAGCATTTTTTGTTCCTGTAGTTAGCCATACAAGGCAAACTACATATGCATGACTATATCATGAATATCACTACAATGTAATGCTTCTCAGATTAAAACACAAATATGATTGGGCAGACTTGCATTATTATGCCATAAAATCACAGTGGTTTTCTTCAGATCCATTTGATACTACCCTCACTTAAACATGGGAAGTCAAAAGTAATTTTAAATTTTGCCTTTCAGTTTATCCAGATGATAACTGTTGAACTTGAATAAAAGGGACACTTAATAATCCCTTAAAATGTTACTCAGCAAAGCTAGTTAAGTCTATATAGCAGCAGCCCAGCTAAGTGACAGCACCTATAATCTTAATTTATTTTGAAAATCCAAACAGAGTTGATCAATACATGGATAGGAGACCCATAAGAAATACCAGGTCTGCAGGCAAGACTGGGAAATCCCTTGTGCCACATTGCCAAGAAAATTATTTATACTTATCTCAAAAAATTAACAGAATTCGATTCGATTGAATGCGAAAGCAACACAGAAGAAGTTATAGTAATTTATAACAAAGGGGTCTTCCTACAAGCTTTCAAATTCTGTGACTTCTGCAAAAAGTGCTACAGTAGGAGCACTCATCAAGGGAACAGTAATATAAAAGTCTTAATACATTATGAAAAGGGGACATGAAAATAACATGGTTGTAACTCTGGTTCTGAATTCTGAGAAGTAGACCCTGGCTATATGCTTTATTAGATTTGACTGTGATCAGCTGCAAAGTAATAAACACATTCTTCTAATGTAATTTTAGGCAACCTTAAATAAAATGAAGTGATGAATATCAAGTGAAACTACACTTACTGTTTGAACTTATGAAGAATCTTCTTAGGAGGGGTACCTATGATATCATGAATTTTTGATATTTGGTCCAATTCATTTGATCCAGGAAAAAGTGGGTGGAAACTGGGAATAATAAAGAATTGATAATGTGATAAATACCAAACTCTGTGACAAGCTTATGTTTTTATTATGAGAAAGCTGTTCATCCTTGGTATTAAATAATATTGTTGGTACTAAATAATAACATTACAGCATTACATAACATCTTTCAAAATAAAAAGGGAAAAGGCATCAAAAGAGACAAGTGATCGAAAAATGTTATCTGTACAATTCAGCCTGTAACTATCTAAGAACATAAATATTTCATCAGCTAGAAATGAAGTATTTGTTGCTAAAGCCTGTATTCCCCCAAATTCAATATAATATGCACATGGCATGGCTTTGCCTTGAGGGTCCTCCTTAGAGACATATTTACTATTGTCTGCAGCTGGATAACAGCCACTCTTGAAGCCTGGATATTAGGCTGGATATTAGGACTCTCAGCTAAATTTCAAATTATTTTTCCTTTCTTCATTAAGCTGCTGATGTTCTTTTTTCTAACCATTGACTAAATCCAGATGTACAGCAGCAAGGCTGTTGTATTATACACGTTTATGTTAAGCTGAATCACAAACCCCTCAGTTAATACAAGTTCTATGCCAGATAAAAACACAATGATTAAAAATGACAAATACCCAAATATTTCTTAGAGACAGATTTAAGTCTACCTTAAATCTGACTTTCCCTGTGCTATTATGCAATTCATCAACTAGCAATGCAGACATTTGAACTGGAATTTTCTCCATGTGTGTTTTAATGTTGAGCCTCAAATCTTCCCCAGTTTTATATTTGCATTTTTCCCATAATACAGCCTATAACTATCTCATATCTGCACAGGCCTATACTTCAGAAGAGTTTCTTTATTCTTTTTAATTTATCCGCTTTCCTTCTGATGAATAACCTACCTTGCAATTTCATAAAACACACAGCCAGCACTCCAGATGTCCATTTTATAACTGTAGTAACCATCTGTAAGAAGACATTCCGGTGCCCTATACCAGCGGGTAGAGATATATTCTGTATATGGCTGCTTAGAATGTATGCTCCTACAGGATCCAAAATCTCCAAGCTTGAGAAGATCTTGCTACGATAAGACAATTTGTGCATCTCAAATGATCAGGCATTAAAATATTTACAAATAATGAACTACTAATAATACTTCAAGATGAAATTAAGGAATTTTTATTTTAGAAATAGCTGTTCTATTTTTGAACAGAAAAGGCTAATTTTTTAAAGTGATCTAAATTGGCCATATTTGATTTTTGAATCCTTGGCCACAAGGCAGCCTTTGGAATAAATGAAAATACTTATAGGCAGCCCCAAGATGCTTTTCCAAAAGGCAACTGGACTTTCTTATTTTTTCTTTGAAAATGTTTCACTTCTCATCCAAGGAGTTTCTTTAGTTCTGCAAGAGAAGGAAAATGTTCTTAAAGAAAAACAAAAACCAAAGAAAGCCCAGTTGCCTTTTGGAAAAGCAACTTTGGAATAACCATAATCTGGATGATTGAGAATCTAGATAAATAGGTAATTCTTTGTTAAAGACCATTTGTTCAGCAACCATTAGAAGTTGCAATGACACTGAACAAATGCTACTTATGATTAGTCCTCAAAATTCCAGCAACACATTACCTCCATGGCTATGTGATTATGATCCATGCGCATGGCTGCACCACATGCATGCTGTACCAGCTTGCATGCGTTACTCTGACACAGCAGCAACCTCTTCCCAGCTCACATGCACTCACCACAGCAATCCTCCTCCCAATCTATGGTACTCACCTGCCCTCCAGCCTGCTTGCAAGCTGCCTGGAACTTGCAACTTTCAGTCTGTTTGCTCATTGACTTTGCCTCTGGAAGCTGGCAGGAAGTTGCAAGTCATGGTCATATAAAATCCTCACTTAATGATAGCCAAAGAGAAATGCTAGGCTGCTGTTGCTAAATGATGCAGCCATTGTGGCATGTTTCATAACTGCAACATTTAGTGATGGAAATTCTGATCCCAATTACTATCAAACCTTTGAACATTAAGTCTTCAGAGAATTGCTAGCACAATTTACTTAAGAAAAATCAAATTTGATTTTTTTACAGCCTGCTTCAAAAATAACTGACTTGTCTAAAAACATATTTTTTTCCATGAGTAATAAAAAAACCGGATGCTAAAAAGCAAAACAATATTAGATCTAAAGCAAGTATTTGACAGTTAATCACCAGAAAGTTGAAATGTACTTTTTCCTATAGACCTAAGATGCATATTCAAATACCAGTCCTAGAACAAACATTTTGAAACATAAGAATTTTGGTACATTCATATTGCTCATGTTTTAAAATTATCAAAGACAACCTACCTTTATTAATATGTTTTCAGGTTTCACATCTCTGTGAAATATTCCGTTTCTGCATCAAGATAAAAATAAAAAGAGGAAAGGTAAGTATGTTTATATTAAGGCTGTTGTACAGAAAGCCACATATCTCTCGGGAGAATTTGAGCCCACTCCTTAGTTTCAATATAAGTTGTTGCACCCATCCCCCCCAAAATTATTCATAAAGCTCTGAAGATATTCCAGAGGAGAGATGACAATTATAAAACAAAAGCTAGTCAAAGCCCATGGCACCTTTATATACGTTAGAAACATGAATGATAGTCTACAAATTTCAGTCCATTTAAATATCCAAAATGTAAATTTGCAAGCAAATAAGTTAAAAACCTTTCCTACCTGTGTATATGATCAAGAGATTTGCATAACTGGTACATATAATTCATTATTTTCTTTTCAGGCAATGGTTTTTTCCTTCCTAGAATTTGGAAATCAAGTTTACTGGATTTTTTTAGAAATAAAGATGGCTTGAGTATAAAAACAGCTTGCAATGATTTTGGCTAATTAACTGATTTTTAAATCTAGTTATGAAATAGCTTACCCATGACCTATAACCATTTCCCCTAACTTAGCCAGGATATTCAAAGCTGCTTTGTTCAGAGCACCCTGTCCACCTTCAGGGGGTGCACCATTGGTATGTTTTCCTAAAAAGACGAAACTGGCTACAGGACTCATATCTGAATCACTGTTAAGGTTCAATTCCTATTATGTGTCCTCTATAAGGCTACCTTTAAAAGGGATTTGCAAATCACAACTGATATGAAACATAGTGGGCTAGGATGCCTTTTAGACTATATGCTACTGGTCATATATCAGTTGCAATAGTTTTTTATTCTAATCTGAAAAACTAGAGCAGGACTCAAGCTTTTATATTTCATGCAGTTACTCATTTCGAATCATGAGTATTTGAAAGCAGAATAAACCCTCATTTTATATACAACTGCTGTAACAGAGATAACAACTTTGTATCACAATGAAGTAGTAGTTTTCCAGTTGTTGACATACAATTTTCATCTTTGACTTACTATCCATGCTGCCTTGGCTTTGGTTGATGGTAAGGGTGGGGCATAGATTTAACAATTCTTAATACAGCAGATATATGTAGTGATTAATAAACTATGTTCTCCTTAAATTTTTTTGCAGACTGGCCCTTCTTTAGGATAGCATTCTCTTTCAATATATATAATTATGGAGATACTTTCCCTATATTCCAAAACCTCTCTCTGCCTTAACTTATTCTGAAGGAGATCAACTGCCACCAGAAAGAGATTCTATGTACATCCACGCTAATCTGAAGGTTTTTCCATAACTGCAAGTAAAACACATCTTTTTTCAACCTGCAACAGCATCTTACTTAATATTTGGTTAAACTGAACATGCAACTGTCTCACTTGTGAAAAAAAATTGCTTGAGACATTGTTCAGATATTGTATATGCTACATACCTTTGATCAATTCATAAATATTCATGTCCATAAGTTCACATATTAATGCAACAGCACCAGCTTTCTTGTCACTAAAACGTTGGTTTTAATGGGATTATATGAAAGAAAGAAGAATAAGTTGTATAAGCACTTCAAGAATGGGACAGATTTTTTTCAATTACTTTTTAAAAGTGGTTCTATTAGTTTTCTGTATATTTCATTAGCTTTTACATATGCATGAAAGAAGCATTGTATGTTAAATAGAGCAGTTATATGCCACTCTAGAGATGAGCAAGCTTTTTATCATGCATACGGATTCAAAATTGCTGAGGAAGAAAAGGAAAATCAAGTTCATTTTGCCATCTCATCTTTCATGATTTTGAAAAAAATATTGGAGAAGGCTTATGAGGATGACTCTCTTTAAAAATCCTCTTCCTCATCAAAATTGTTTACCAACTTCCCCAGCATTTTTTACAGCAAATCAGAAATCAAATGTTCTAGGAAACAAAGGTTTCCCGGAGATTCATACTTATGCACCTTTGATACACGGCTGAATTAGTTTTTCAATAACCAAAATAAGTCTAATAAGTGGACTACTGAATGACAATTGTGAGGAGGAAAATCACCCTTCTATCAGTGTGATAGTAATAGTGGGGTATGAAAGAGAAAAAGAAGAACCTGTAGCAGAGGATAAACGTTTGATAATCTCGCATGGCTTGCAAATTGCTCACCCTTATGTACATGATAAAAATAAATCCATGCTGTACCTGCATATATTTTATTTAATTAGAACCAACATTATTGAAAAAGCAAAAACATTGCTTTAGATGTTAATGTTTTTTTGCCTGCCCTACTCAAGAGATTACTTACCGAAGTGTATTAATTGTGTCATCCTCAGAAACTATAGATTTTAAGCAAGCAACATAATAATTTATGAACACACAAATATGCCTTATAACATCAGATCATAATCCATCTTGGCCAATTCTGTGGTCACAGATGGGGATCTTTTTGAGTCCTGGAACTTGACAAGTAACTGTAACTGGACAAGTAAAGTATAAACTTGATACAATTCTACATGCTGTTACTGAACTACAATGTTCTGTAATAGGTGAGGAAATTGCCTTGCTCTATAAAAGACTTTCTCCCTGAGAATTGGATATAGACATCTGCAAGATACTGCTGCTTTTATTAAAATGATGAAAGCAGTATTACTCCACAAGATCTTTTCCTTTTGAATATGCATGCAACAATATGACATATATACAAAAGGGCCAAGGGTTTATCTCAATGTTGCTTTTGTTCTGCCCTCACCTGCTGCGACAGAAGCTGCTGAACCTTGGTAATTATGTGCCTTCAAAAATTTATCCTTTTTAAAATAAAAAGATTTATATTATATTTTCTCACTTCAGAAATGGTTAAATAGAACAGTTGTCTGGCAAAATGTGTAGTGAGGATTGTGAGGTTTCTCTTTCATGGTAACAAAATACATTAGCATTAGAATATTCCTTATTGTCAACTGATACTCTCCATTGGCAGATGACCAGATATGACTTTTCATACTACACAATAAACAGAATCTAATGACACATATCTTCAAGTAATCCCCCACTGCAAAATCTCAAATAAGCACCTTGCAGGAATGAGATTGGATTCTGCATGTTGCCATTTAAACAGTTCAATTCTTGAGCCTCTAACTGCATTTTTCTTGTATTTCTCCCTTGACACTATTAGTATTGTCAGCGGCCAAGTATGAACATGGAATAAAACTAATGTGATTTTTAAAGTCTTTATAGATTGCCAGATCAATCCTGAGAGCCTATATCACATAGAACAGAATGATGGCTCAAAGACTACTCAACCCCAAAGTTCCAAAGTTAAGTAGTCCACACAACCTACTCCCTACTTGCTGTCATCTTGAGCAAAGATGCAAGAAATGACAAAATCTCATTCTACAGTGAACGGTCCCTCTCTCAAAATAATTTTAATCAGAATGAGATTTGTTTGATAAATAGTAATTGAATATCTCTATAAAACATCTGGTGATCAATATGAATGGTACAGAATGGGAATGAAAAAAAAGCATGTATCACTTACAAAATCACTTCATGCAATGTAAGGATATTTTGATGTGGATTTAATCGCCTTAATGCTTGAATTTCTCTCAGGTTATTCACATGGTCAATGCTAGTAGAAAAGATTAGATGAAAAATAAACAGCTGTCATTTACACATTGTTGCAGATATTTTCCTGAATCACACAAAGCATAGGCTGTAATAATCTCTTGCAGCATGTTGCCAGCTTATCTGAGTGCGGTGTGATATTTCATGGCTCTGCTGTATGAGATATTACTTGCAAACTAAGTACCATGATTTTTTATATGGTGGCATAGAAAACGTATAGTACACACTTCTTACAATGATTATGGGTTCTTGAGAAGGAAATCTCAAATCTGCTGTATTAACTCAACACTGTAGGGCATGCTACAATCAAGAAGTACTACTGAACACACATTATTTAAGACACGTCAGGAAAAAAATCTTCATCTCCAAAGGCAGCTAGATTTTACATATGCATTTACAAAAAAAATGTTTTAAAATCAACTTTTTACAATGAAGATTTAAACAAAACATTTATATACTAAAGCTAAACAAGAAACTAAAATGGAAAAGAATCAGACTTTACCTTTCAAAGTGCTGTTTCATTTGTTTACAAGCATAGCAACGTCCATTGTTTAGACTCTGTACCTTCAGAACATCAGAAAATGTTCCCTCTCCAATTTTACCAATTGTTTTGTATTCTAAAAAGGAACAATAAACTAGAAGGTAAATTTATATATTTAAATTCTGTTTTATCAAACATGTCCATAATTGTAGTTTACTTATTCTAACAGCACACTTGTTTCCGCCGCAGATTATAATGTATGTCTTTCAGGTAATTCCCATATTGTTACTGTAGTTGCTTAAAATTAAGGTTCACACCTCTGCACTGGGAAAGGATTATACCAGTATCATTTATTGAGAATTATATGAGAAATTCTATTTGTGTTTGCTAAAATAACATTCAAGTGCTTTCTATCAGCTACATCTCACATACCTATCATGTTCTTGAGAAAATCTGCAGAATAAAAACCGTGTAAGTTTTAGTTTAGTTTTTAGAAACCCAAGTTTGTTGTTTTCACTTCACTAGATATAAATTATATATTTATAAAAAGAATTACAGTTATTGTGCTTAAATAATATCAGTACCATCATTAAAATGGACTGTTTTTATACTTGCATACAGTTTACCATATCTTAGGACATTATCAATAATCATCTAATGTTCCAAGCATGTAAATTTGAAGAGCTTAATTCTAATGTTATTCTGTATGACCAAGAATAACTTATAAATCAAACTAATCTATGTGCTATAGGCCCACAAACAATATTCCTCCAGATATGCTGATCCCTCATTCATTTTTTTTACTTTTCTGCTGAGTTATACATCTGGAAACTGACCCAATTCTGACTATTTTTTGTATATACCTTTCTGCTCTAAAATTTGGTTTAGTCTTCTCCCATACATATCACTTGTACAGCACTTCCTATAATTCTCCATTGCCTAACTTCTGTGAGAATTAACTTCTTCAGACTGCATCTAGCTGTAAAGAGAAGCATTTCCAATATAACTGTACTAGTAACTCATATTCAATAAGACTTTCCCCCTAACCATTGTCATGTTTCATGTTAAAAAAAGTATCATATTCTACAGTGAAGGAAACTTCCATTTATGGTTTGTTTATAGTATCTTATAATCAAAAGGGTTTGAAGCAACCTTGGAAGTTTTCTAGTCCAATCTGTAACTTACTTTATGTAAAACATCCAGTGTTTATTTGAATTCCTCATTTTTATTCAACCACAATCTTTGTCTATGATAAAGTCAGCTACTTTTTAACAGAAAGGAGTTGTATTATTGATACATTTTTTCCTATATGAAAAGTGAAAAGGAAATAAAATCAAAAGACTGTGTTCATAATACACACAGTTACGTACTCATATGTATGGTCATGTGAAAAAGGAAGTACACCCTCTTTGAGTTGTATGGTTTTATGTATCAGGACATAGCAAAAATCATCTGGTCCTTAGCAGTTCTTAAAAGTAGGTAAATACAACCTCAGATGAACAACAGCATGTGACATATTACATTATGTCATTTAATTTACAGCCAAAATGGAGAAGCTACATGTGAAAAACTAATTATAGGTAGTTCTCAACTTAAGGTAGTTCACTTAAGAACCACTTAAAGTTGCAATAGCACTGAAAAAAGAGACTTATGACCATTTTTCACATCTAGGACCGTTGCAGAATCCCCATGGTCATGTGATTTACATTTGGATGCTTGACAACTGATTCACATTTATAATGGTTGCAGTATCCCAGGGTCATGTGATCACCTTTTGTGATCTTCTGACAAGCAAAGACAATGGAGAAACCAGATTCACTTAACAAGTGTTACTAATTTAACAAATGCAGTCATTCACTTAACAAATATGGAAGAAAGCTCGTAAAATGGGACAAACGCACTTAACAAATGTTTCACTTAGCAACATAAATTTTGGGCTCAATTGTGATCATAACTCAAGGACTACCTGTACACCTTTACTGTTTCCACAGGTATGAGAGGCAAAGTAGCAGCCAGGTGCTGCTAGTCAAGTGTCCTTGATCAATTGATCATAGCAAGTGTGACTACCTTTATAAAAACCAATGTTTTAAGAGTTTTACTAGTCTCCAACATTGAGGTGTGTGTTAACACAATGCCAAAGAGAAAAGATATCAGCAATGATTTTAGAGAAGCAATTGTTACTGCCCATCAATCTGGGAAAAACTATAAAGCAAACAATTTCCAAACAATTTAAGGTCCATCATTCTACAATGAGGAAGATTGCAAGTGGAAAACATTCAAGACAGTTGCCAATCTTCCTAGTAGTGAATGCCCCAGTAAATTCACTCCATGGTCAAACTGCAATGTTAAGAGAAACTGAAAAAAAGCCAAGAGTTACATTTCAGACTCTTTAGGACTTAGTATGTTAAATATTAAAGTCCATGAGTACTGAAGATGATGTTTGATTTCGTTGCACGAGGTGCAATGACAATAAAAGTAAGCTAAACAATTAGAAAAGATTGAACAAGTATGGTTTGTTTGGAAGGGTTGCCAGGAGAAAGGGTTGCCTCTCCTCTCGAGAAAGACCACGGCAGCATGGCTTAGGTTTCCAAACCTTTGCATCTGAACAAATCGTAAGATTTCTGGAACATTGTCCTTTGGACAGATGAGACCAAAGTGGGGATAATAATGCAGTGCCGTGTTTCACAAAAAGCAAATACAGCATATCAGCACAAACATTTCATGCAACCGGTCAAGCACATTGATGAAGGGGTGATGGTTTGGGCTTGCTTTACAGCCACAGGATCTGGGCTCCTCACAGTTATTGAATTGACCATGAAGTCTCCTGTATACCAAAGTATTTTAGAGTCAAAAGTGAGGCCATCTGACTGACAGCCAAAAGTTCGGTCGACACTGGGTCATGCAACAAGACTATAGTCCCAAACACACCAGCAACTACAGCAGAATGGCTGAAAAATAAAAGAATCATGGTGTTGCAATGGCCCAAAGTCTGGACCTCAACCCAACTGAAATGCTATGGCAGGATCTCAAGAGAGCTGGGCATAAACAAGTGGCCATAAACATCAATGAACTGAAACAATGTTATAAATAAGAGTGGGCCAAAATTTCTCCACAATGATGTGAGACTGATACAATCATAAGAAAACAATTACTTCAAGTTATTGCTACTAAAGGTGGTTCTACAAGCTATTGAATCATAAGGTGCATTTAGTTTTCCACACATGGCTTTTCAATTTTGGCTTTTTGTAAAATAAGTGACATAATGTAATATGTAATGTGTTCTCGTTCATCTGAGGTTGTATTTTACTTTTAAAAAATGCTAAGGACCAGATGATTTTTACTGTGTCCCACTATGTAAAATCATAGAACTCAAATACACATACACACACACACACACACACACACAAAGGGAGGGGGAGAGAGACTTAAAGCCAGATAAAGGGAACTCAATTAAACAAATAAGTCAAAAACATTAGACTTGTTTAGACTTTCATTTGTTTATTGAAAGAAATGATCCAAAATTACATATTTGTGTGTGGCAAAAGTATGTGAAACGATGCTTTCAGTAATTAGTGTGCCTGTTTTGAGCAGAAACAGTAATTGTTGATGAGTCTTGCACAACAGTTTGGAGAGATTTTAGGCCATTCCTCCTTATACAACATCTTCAACTCAGGGAGATTGGTGGGCTTCTTTGCATGAGATGTCTGCTTCAGGTCCTTCCACCATATTTTTATAAGATTAAAGTCAGGATTTTCTTGCCCATTCCAAAACCTTTGCTTCAACCATTTTTTGTCATATGTTTGGGGTTGTTCTCTTGTTATATGACCTTCAGTGGACATACCATAGAAAGTCTACATACCTGTTAAAATGCTAGGGTTTTGAGATGTAAAAAAAACAGACCAAGATAAATCACTTCAGAATTTTTTCTATCTTTAATATAACATATAAGCTGTATAATTCAACTGAAAACCAAATCAAAATCTTTTAGAAGATAAAATAGCAATAAAAATGGGGGTGGGGGAATAGCAAGAATAATGTGGCTGCATCCTACCTCTTATAAGTAGAGATGTAGCTGTGTTCAGAATTACATTCAAACTGATGTTAAAAATACTAGTCAGCATATACCTGCTATCAATTAAAGTGATTCTGATCAAGCCCATATAAAATTCAGCTTTTCTAGTATGATTTTTCTGACATTTATTCAGTTGCCCCTTACAGCAAAAGCCATTATCTACAAAGAGATTATAAAGCAGGGGTCTTCAAACTAGACAGCTTTAAGACTTGTGGACTTCAACTCCCAGAATTCCTCCTTCAGTCATCTATCTCAGGAATCCTGGGAGTTGAAGTCCACAAGTCTTAAACTTGCCAAGTTTGAAGACCCTTGTTATGAGGCATCTCATTGGAAAATACCAGTCAGGAGAAGGGTACAACTTTTTTCCAAGGCATTGGCTATACCATGAAACACGGTAAAGACAGTCATCAACAGACTGTATATTATGAAGCGGAGAAAATATGACACAACTGTTACGTTACCAAAGCCTGAATGTCCCTCCAAAATTGGGGGGAAAAGTGATTCAACAGATTGCTAAGGGGCTTACAGCAACATTAGAGGAGCTGCAGGAATTTCTGGAAAGTGCTGGTTGTGTACTACATGTGACAACAATCTCCCATTTTCTTTGTATGTCTGGGCTATGGGTGACAAGACACTAGCCTCTTCTTACAAAGTAAAACATCCATGCTTGGCTACATTTTGGAAGAACTTACATCAAGTCTAACAACGGCATGTGAGAAAAGTGTTATGGTCTGATGAGACCAATGTTGACCATTTTGGGCATAATTCCAAAGAGTATGTTTGGCGCAAGAAAAACACTGCTCATCACCAGAAGTACACCATACCCAAAGCAAAGCATGGTAGTGGCAGCATTATGCTTTGGAGCTGCTTTTTTTCCCACTGAAATTGGGGCTTTAGTTAAGGTGGGGGAGTGGCAATGAATAGTTCCAAATATCAGTCAATTTTGGCATAAAACCTTCAGGCCTCTGCTAAAATGCTGAAGATTTCACCTTTTAATACGACAATGACCCAAAGCATACCTCCAAATCAACAAAAGACATACTTCACCAGAAGAAGATCAAAGGTCTGGAATGGCTCAACCAGAGTCCAGATCTCAATCCAACTGAAAATCTTTAGGGTGACCTGAAAAGGGCTGTGCACAGGAGATGCCCTTGCAATTGGACAGAATTGGAACAGTTTTACAAGGAAGAGTAGGCAAAGATGATCCCCAAGGCAAGATGTGCCAATGTGATAGGCTCCTACCCCAAAAGACTGAATGCTGTCATAAAATCAAAAGGTGCTTCAACAAAGAATTAGTTTAAGATGTGAATTTTTATGCAACCATGTAAGATTTTGCCTGCCCCCCCCCCCAATCAGTTTGTTTTTCAACTGACTTGTACAGCGTACATGTTATATTAAAGACAGAACGAATTCTGAAGTGATTTCTCTTGGTCTGATTTTTTTTAATTTCAGAAACCTGGCATTTAACGGGTATATAGACTTTCTATATCCATTGTACTTTTTCTTAAGCTTCAGTTTATAGATACCTTGATCTTTTCCTGTAGAATTTTGCTGGTGTAATTAAAAAAATTCATAGCTTCACCAAGCTTCCCTGGTCCAGAGACAGCAAAGCAAACCAAAATATATTGCCACTACCATCTTTCACAGATGGGATGGTCTTATGCTGAAATGCAGCATTTGCCTTTCAGAAAATATGCTTTTCATTAAAGCCCAAAATTCTATTTTGCTCTCATCCATCCAGAGAACATTCTTTCAATAGTCATGTGGTCTTTCACAAACTGAACCTTGGCAGCAATATTATTTTTGGAAATAGCGGTTTTCTTTTTGCAATCCTGCCATATTCAGTATTGTTGTCAATGTTCTCTTGATGGTGGTCTCATGAATGCTAGCATTCACCAATACAAGAGAGGCCTTAGATGTTTTTCTGGGGTGAGACCTCACGGAGAATTATACACCTTGCTCTTGCTTGTCAATCACTTCTGGGGAGGGTAACAATGGTGTTGAATTGCCCATTTATAAACTATCTATTGAACAATGATTGGAAATAGTTCTATAACCTTTCCCAGCCTGGTGAGTATGAACACCAATTTTTCAGTGGTCCTCGGAAATTTCCTTTGTTTGAGCCATGACACACTTCTATATACCTGAGTTGTGATTCAGACTTTGACAGTGAAGAGCAAAAAATTGTTCCTTAAAGAGAAGCATGATTTTCCATAGTCACACCTGATTATCATCCCACTGATTGAAACACATTATTCTAATTACACCTTCAAATCAACTGTTAATGTTAGAGGTTTATGTACTTTTACCATGTGCAAATATATAGCTTTGGATCATTTTTTCCTCAATAAATGAGCAAACATAATGTTTTTGATTCGTTTAACTGGATTTTCTATCTAGTTTTAGGATTTGTGAGAACAGATCATATTTTAATTCATATTTATCTGGACATGTTGAAAATTCAAAAGGATTCACAAACTTTTCAGTATTACTGTATATCAAAGAAGATGATGGAGCCATACTTTCTACATTTTCCAGGCTTTGGGAAGTTATTAGATGTTTTTATTTGTATACACATACAAACATACATAGGTGGTTAGCCGGCAGCAGGTGCAGATGGCTGAGGAGAGTGAGGACTCTGATGAAGGGCCAGGACCATCAGGGAGCGGACTGCTGCCTTCAGAGATTGTGGGGGTTGGCAGAAGTGATGAGGAGGTTCCCGAGGAGCCTGTGCCAAGTGCACGTGCACGTGCACGAAGGATTGCTTGGAGGAAAAAACAATTACAGTAGCACAGGCGACTTGGGAGTAAGGCTGCAAGGTAATGGCCCTTCCCTCAAGAGGATAAAAGCCAGGTTTGGAAAAGCATTCTTTGCAGACAGCAAAGAAGCTCTGAAACTCAACTGGTAGACATCTTAGTTTGTGTTTTGGCAGCCTTGACAAACAACTTGGCAAGGCTCTTTCTTGTCAGAGCTAATTAGTGGAAAGCAGCCTTCAGAACAGAATTTATTAAACCTTAAAAGGTGGGGGCTGCTGCCTTTGTGTTTGTTCTTTAGGAACCTGGTTGGGTCAGAACAATAGGTGGTTTACTCCAATTTTGTTTGTTTCCTAACTCAACATAACTTGGAAATTAAAGATGCTGATTTGCTGTGATTGAGGTCAGAAGCAAGCCTATAAATTTCAAGGAGGTGCCTATGGACCTATGATCTTAGATTAGATTACAATAACTTTATTGCCACTTTGAATATACACTAATTTGCAAACATTAAAATAAAATTTTGTAGCTTGCCTATGTACCTCTATCATTCCAGGCACTGAATCTAGTTTATTTACCATTTTTACAAGCGATATACAGCACTGTCATGTGACCACTACTATCTTTCCTATGGTATATAAACCTGTTTTTTTCCTATTTCAGCAAAATGATTTATAAGTGGGACTCAAAACTTCATCTTATGAGAGACTGAATTGGATATGTTTAGTTTTGAGAAAAGACAATGAGGAATATGAAAGTAATTTTTGACTATCAGGAGCTTATTACACAGAAGAAGCTCAAGAACCAATTATTAAAACAAGGTTGATCTTTGTTGAATGTATCAAAACTGCAGGCTGGGCAATTATCTGTCAGGGAATGCACTACATAAGAAGTAGACTTGGCCTAAACAGACTATTCCAATGAAACCTATGATTTATATATGTATCATGTTATCCTTTATTTTATTCAATTTATATAAATATAAATGATTTTATTTATACATTATAGAAATTCTGACAAAATGATTACTCTATCCCTTATTTCTACATTGCTGTCTTAATAATTGCTTAACATCTATACATGTCATCATTTTCATATTAGTGTATGTATATGTATGGGGGACCATTAATCACCTGCCCAACAAATTGAAGCACATATTTTTCCTAGTCAGGCTATTTAAATTCTATAATGAGATACTGAAAACTGTTGCTGAAATTTATACACAGTATATAGAAACATGTACTTTAACTGATAGGATTCCTCTAAAGTTGCTAGCTTTGACTTGTTTTTGCAGACATGAATAAACTATTAGAGCAAGAGAGGACAACCTGTGGCCTCCAAAACCATTTTAATGTTTGTGGGGAAAACAGGAGACCATCTTGAGCTAATATACATACATAGATTGACAAGACAGAGATATTGGCAGGATAAAAATAAAAGCCCCTGACTGCAGTTACTGAAAACTGATGGTGCATTTTTGAGACAAGAAAACTATAACACCTTCCTTAAAATAGATTTTTTGCATCTAATAAACAGAACCCACCCAAGACACCCACCTGAAACGTCACATCCAATATAAAGCTATATATTTCCCATTTTAAGATTATCATTCTACATGCTTTAATCCTACTCCCTCTAAATCCCTCAAAGGATTTCCTTGCTCAGCTTTAAGGAATGGATTCTAATAATCAAGTGTTTCCTTTTCATTTTTGAGTTCAATGAAAACTGTGCCCAAACAAGAAGCTTGCAAAAACAAGATAAACTGAAGGTCTACGCTAGTAACACAGGAAGAGTGCTTAGGATGGAATTACAGCCTGTGGCTTTATCTTTTATGGACCATTTCATGTTGTCCAAAATGGCTTGGAACAGAGATAATACAGTAATAATATCCATTCAAGCTTGGTTTGGGAAAGGCTGAAGTACACTGTATTGTTATCCCTTTTTGAGGTAAGCTGTATTAGATAAAGAACCGAAAGAAAAATGCAGAACCACTAAAAACAGACCTACACACTTCTTACTGTTGGAGCCAGATAGAAGCCCCTATCAGCGTGGTTGGAGCGGATCAGACAGCGGGTTCCACGCTACTATTCCAAGACCCGCCGGGGGGGGGTGTCATCCTGCCATACTTGGCGCCTCCCTGTGAAACCCCTCCCGCCAGGTGGAATAGCGGCAGAAGAGGGCGAGTTTGTAAAGCCTCCGTCCACCCGTGGCACCCAACCCCGTGGCCTCGGCTTGAGGGTCTTTGGCCCCAATCCCAAAACGACGCCCTGGTCGAATCTCTCTAAACAGTAAACGAATCTTTCTCTCTCCAAGTAGACGCTTCTTCCTCGACTCGCCAATTTATGAGAAAGGAAGGAGTTGAGGCGTCTCCCCTCCACCCCCTTTTTCCTCGACATCAATTCTACACACCCCTCCTCCCCAAGCCGTCGGCTCGCCGAATCCGCAGACCAAGCGCCGTTTCCGACCTATTTCCACCACGTGCCGCGAACCACCATTGCGCCTCCTCCCTTACTGTTCATCCTCCGAGCCCGCCTCTCCCGCAGGTTCCCGCCAGGTCAAGGGGTGGGGAGGGGGGGGGGTCGAGGACACGTGTCCTCTCTGAACCGCCAGACCCCCTCCCCACGACAGAACTTGTCAGCGCGCCATGTTGTATTCCCGTCACCCTGGCAACCCCAGAGCATCAAACGCCTCAACCCGGGAAAACGACCTAGTCCCACCCTCGCAGCGGCGCTGGCTTCTAACAGTGGCGCAAGCGCAGTTACTAACCTCCGCCCTCTCCTATTGACTGCGGCAGGTGAAGGGCAGGATTCATGTTTGCGGGCTTTCAGAGTTGCGCATGCGAAGTGTCAATTTACTCCTCGCCCGCCGGCTCCCAGCCCCTCTCCGTTTTGCGCATCCTCAGTCGTTATGACTGTCTCAGGAGGGTCGCTTGCAGTGCTTCCTCCCGTGCCGAGCGCGGGTATGAAGTACAGTCTGGGCTTTTTCTTAGGGCGAAATCCGCCATTGGTACTAGTTTAAGGAGGCAACAGAATTGAATATGTTTTTTCCCTGGGAATAAGCCCTGTTCCAGCCGCCCATTAAATAGTGAATTAACCCACTATGTTTTAGTGTAGCGTGACGTGGAAATCGACCAAGCTCCGTTTTAGTCCATCATTTGATGATTGGCAATGGCCAAAGAAATGGGGGGGCGGGCGGTAGGCAATGGCAGGGAGACTTAACTGTCCTGCAGGTGTACTTCTGCGTGTAGTACTTGCAGACCTAGTGCAGCATAGGGTTAAGAACCGAATAAATTGGGTGAATTGTACATTCCTATTTTGTTCCCCCTTTTGTGGTAAGCTGTATTATGTAAAGTGCAGGAATGGTCTACACGACAAAGGCACGAGGAAAAGCAGATTAAAGCAAAGCACAATCTAGTTCACACCAACACCGCTCCATACTCTTCTACCGTTCCAAATTATCCTTGCTTCCACTATCCATACACTTCATATATTGCCTGTTGAACCTCTGAAGATTTCATCAACTCTTTCCAATCAAGCTTTTTTCCAGTTATCCCTTTCCAGTCTTTACCCATTCACTTTTCCTTTATATTTTCAATTTGCTATTCAGTCATTCATTTTCTCTATAAGAAAATATTTATTTTGTATTGACTGCTAACTTTTGTATTTAACCTATGTTCATTCAGAATCCATTCGTTCTGGATCCTACTGATTCTTGTTTTACCATTCAAATAACCAACTCCAGTTGCATTCCCTTTACTGTTACTACAGAGTAGATAGAACCATGTTCTTACATAGATAACTTTTATTGTCATTTTTTGTCATTTTTTTACTGTGGGCACACTGGCACACATTACAAATGAAATTCTGTTGCCTGCTGTTAAAAGTCTACACATATATACCTTAACAAACATACAGATGCTACCGCATTTCTTAGTTTATATTATTTTATATTTTTATTTTATACTATGTTTTATTTTGGGGGGGGGGGCTCTGAATAGACTTATTAGGGCTTATCTATACCCATACACACACACACACACATACACACACACACACCAGAGGTGGTATTCAGCAGGTTTTCACCAGTTCTGGAGAACCAGTAGCGGAAATTTTGACTAGTTTGGAGAACCGGGAAATACCACCTCTGACTGGAGATTTTACAGTATCCTTCCCCTGCCATGCCCACCAAGCCACGCCCACAGAACCGGTAGTAAAAAAAAATTGAATCCCATCACTGACACACACACACGCGCGTCTGTGTGTGTGTGTGTGTGTGTGTGTGTGTGTGTTAATCACTGTCCATCTTGAATACATATCGGAAAGAGGAAGCTTGAGAATTCACAAGATTCACATACAACCATTTTAAATTTTTCAACATTTCTTATAACAAATCACGGGCTGCCCAATTACCTTTCCACCAGCATTTATAAATATTAAAAAAACACTCTCTTTTCCTCCATTTTTACAAACATTCTACACTACTAACTGTTGGAAGAAATATCCTTCTGGGTTCAGTTTCCAGTGGGGAAGAAAGACACTGGAAACATGGTAACTGCTTGGAAAGATGGTTTAATGGTAGACAGGACCACATGGCTTAGAGGTCTAAAGTGAAAAGGATCATCACATGCTTCAAGATGTTGGGTGAAGGAAAAAAAGGTGCAAGATGCTGAGAGACCCTTGATTTTATACCCTCTGTTGGGATTTGAATTTGAGCTTGTATTCTGATTGGTTGTCAAACTCCCATGGGGCCATGCAGGGGCAACTCTGTAGGTTTGTCCTGAGTCCCAGGCTTGGTTGAGCCTTGCTGGATGAGGATGTAATGAAAGGGCTTTCGGCAATTCCTATTATGGCTTACCTGGAGTAGATTTTTGTTACATAAAATAGACTGGCTCAGGCCAGAGTAATGGCCCATTAGCAAAGGTGAGGGGCTGAGTTTCTGCCTCTGAGTTTCTACTTTTTTTTTTCGGGGAAATATTCTGCCTTTTTAGTATATCCTAAAATTTTTCATTTCCCTTGGAAGGGGTGGGTTTAAATTCCAACACAACATAAACAAATTTATTTGACTGCACTAAGTTTTCACCATTTGAGTATTATTTACAATTGTTCACTCCATTGTACCTGTCAACTGTCTTGGTCTTTGATACATACATTTACAAATCCATATTCCTGGTTGCATTGTACAATCTGTTCTAACATTCATTGCAAGTCTTTTGGATTCTCAGGTAACACACAGTATTATCTACATACAAAAGTGTATGAATTAATATCTCTAACTTTATCACAATAATTTCTTATACATTTATTCCTACTGGTCTATACATGAAACAAGCAAAAAGATATCATGCCTCCTTACCTTAGTCCTTACTCACTTGTGAATCATTCTCTAAGCATTACATTTATTCTCTTTCATGTTTTGCTTCTATCATATCTGTGGATGATTTTAAGCACAATTCATAAATACATAAATTGGGCCTCATTCTGCAAGAGATAAAACCTGGCTTATCTGAATGAAATGAAAAGGGAAAACAGAACTAGCCTACTTAATACTCTAATGGAAGATCACCAGGGCATTAGTGCAAAATGAGAAGTGAAAAACATCAAAAATACTGCCATTCATTACTATAGTGCTTTGAAGAAAAATGCATGCTTCTGCCCATGTAGTTATCAGGAATTGTACCATGGTGTCAACAAGGTATCATGGTGTCCACAATTCTCTGGATTTCAGATATCAGATAATTAGAGTTGGAAGGGACCTTGTAGGTTATTTAGTCCGATCCCCCGCCCAAGCAGAAGACCCTACAGCATTTCTGCCAAATGGCACTCCAATCTCTTCTTGAAAGTCTCAAGTGATGGTGCTCCCACACCTTCCGAGGGCAAGCTGTTCCATTGGTTGATTGTTCTCACTGTCAGAAAGTTTCTCCTTATTTCCAGGTTAAATCTCTTCTTGTTCAGTTTCCATCCATTGTTCCTTGTCTGGCCTACAGGTGCTTTAGAAAATAACTTGACCCCTTCCTCTCTGTGGCAGTCCCTCAAACATTGGAAGACTGCTATCATGTCTCCCCTGGTCCTTCTCTTCACTAGACTAGCCATGCCCAGTTCCTGTAATCATTCTTCATATGTTTTATTCTCCAGTCCCCTTATCATTCTGGTTGCTCTTCTCTGTACTGTTTCTAGAGTCTCAACATCCTTTTTTATAGTGTGGTGACCAAAACTGGATGCAGTACTCTAGGTGTGGTCTTACTAAGGCTTTATAGAGTGGTATTAGTACCTCACTTTATCTCGATTGTATCCTTCTGTTAATGCAGTTTAGGATTGCATTAGCTTTTTTGGCTGCTGCTGCACATATTTATTTATTTAGCTGGTTGTCCACTAAGACTCCAAGATCCCTCTCACAGTTACTACTGCTTGGTTTCACCCAGTCTGCATGCGTACTTTTGGTTTTTCTTGCCTAAGTGCAGGACTCTACTTTTCTCTACGTTGAATTTCACTTTGTTAGATACCGCCCAGTATTCTAGTCTATCAAGATCAATCTTGATCTTGAACCTATCTTCCTGGGTATTAGCTATTCCTGCCAGCTTAGTATCATCACCTGCAAATTTGGTAAGTTCCCCTTCTATTCTCTCATCTAAGTCGTTAATGAAGATATTGAAAAGTACTGGGCCTAAGACAGAACCTTGTGCCACCCCACTGCTTACTTTCCTCCATGTAGACTTAGACCCATTAAGGACTACTTGTTGAGTATGGTTTGTCAGCCAATTGCGAATTCATCTGGTGGTGGTTTCACAATTGACTGACAAACTGTACTCAATGAGTTCTCATAAATTGATGACGTTCCTACAGATAGTCATCAGTTTATGAGCACAACTAGGACCAGAATTCATATCGCTAAGCATAATGGTTATTAAATGAATCATCTGATTTTATGACGTTAAGCAAATCACTGCAGTTGTTAAGTAAATCACATGGTCGATAAAGAGATCCAACTTCCCCCATTGACTTTGGTTGTTGGAAATTGGCAGGGATGGTCACAAACGTTGATCATGTGACCCTGGGACGTTGCAATCATCATAAATACATATTGGCTGGCTGCCAAGCATCCATATTTTGATCATGTGACTGGGAATACTGCAATGGTATGTGTGATGAATGGTTCTAAGTCACTTTTTACCTAGCAGGGGAATTGTAGCTCTGAAAGAATGGTTATAAGCCAAGAGGTCATGAAACTGACATTATAAACCAGGACAGACTGAAAGAAATCTCAAAGTATTCCTTCAGATTTAGTAATAAGTAAATGTGCATATGAGAATACTGCTTATTTAAATTCAGGAACAGGACTAAAAGAACAGAGTGGTTTTATATATTTATCAGATGAAATAACACTAATTATTACTAGTACCAGCTCTGTGATACTTGTAATAGGTTATTTCATTGTAGAACCAGAACTGAAGGGATATTAACTTCAATGTATTGTGTTATTGATTCGCTTTGCTTCATATGCTCCACATATTGAAAAAAAATGTGTAAATGGAATTTTGAAAATTCAAACTTTGAAGCTGTGTGCTGCTGCAAAAAGAACCCCATTTGTGAAGAAATTAGCTGTGAACTTTTCTATGATAACATTGATAGCATTCTTTGCAAAAGAACCTGCAATTGCATGTACCTTTTCCTTTGCTTTGGTGTGGGATTTGTAGTCTGATAAAGAGAACACATGGGATAAGTTGTGAAATGATGAGTTACACAACAGAAAATTAAAATTAAAAGAAAGCGAAGAACTTTAAAAGTAGTTTTTACCCCGTCAGAGGAAGTGTTCTTCAGATTTAATAACAGAAAGAAAGTAAAATAAAGCACTCGAACAAGATGGCCGGTTAGCTCAGTTGGTTAGAGCGTGGTGCTAATAACGCCAAGGTCGCGGGTTCGATCCCCGTACGGGCCATCGGAATATTTCCTTTTTCGTTGAAATTCTAGTAAATTTTAAATGAATGCTTCAGCCACAGCAAAGCCACTTGAATGGCATCCATAAAAATATGCACACATGACGTTATCAACTGATTTTATTAAAATAATACAGTTGGGCATACATCTTTAATAGCACATCTTCAAGAAACGCGCAAAATACACTGCACAGAAATCTATCTTGCTTTCAATTATGTTGATATTCCGTGTATGTGTGTTAATCTTTAAGCCTCTCCCAGACTTCCTAATAGCTCTCCGTGCAAAACGAGGAAATCAAAAGACCTCCGATTTTAGAAACCCCATGAAGTTCATAGCAACTAAATGGAGTTTTGAATCTTTAACAGAGCAGACCGGGTGTTGTTTTGGGCTTTGCCTTCGCAAATTACCCGTCTTAAGAGAAGGCAAGGAAAACGCAACAGCCGGATTCTTTACCACCGACATCGCTTCTAAAGGCTGCTGAACTCAACTCCTTTTTCGGATCGGGAGACGCCGAACGACGCTCTCGGCACGACACCAGATTTGGTCCCCCGGCAGAGCTCCGGCTGCAGCGTTCCACTTCCTTCTCCGCCCTTCTCGTGACGTACCGCAGCCAGCTCAGAAAACCCGCCCGCTCCGGTGTTGCCCGAGTCCTCAATTCCTGAGGCCGCGAGATGGGGCCTCCCCCTCCACCGCTTCCCTCCTAAGACGTCTTCTCCGGGCTTCAGGAGCGACGCTGCTGCTGAAGGTCCGGCACCAGGCCTTCCGGCCGAGAGCCCGTTGACGCCGGTCCCTGAATTCCGCTGCGGGAAGCTTCTTCGGGCGCCCGAGGAAGTGGCTGGAAAGCTACAATACGAGCGGCTCCCTCCACCGGACAGAAAGGCGACGCAGAAGGCCGAGGACCGTCGTCCCGCCGGGGCTGTCGTATTACCTCAAGGGCAAAGCACCGCCTGGCCCCCTTCCCTCTTGATGGCTCTGAATTTCAACCCGGCGACTTCCGCCTCTCCTTCGGGGTCTCGTCTGCAGCCGGTCGGCAGCCTGCACAGCTCGTCGCAGCCGGGGCAGGAGGGACCTCAGGAGGCCGGATCCGAGCCCCTTCTGTCCGAGGTAGAAAGACTGCCATGTTCGTTGATGCGCTTCCCAGGAAATCGTAAACCGAGTCGTTAATGCGAATTGTAGAGCTTGGCTTGGTTTTTATCCCGCGTTCCAGGTGCTTGTTTCAACTTGACCTGCCTTAAAAGAATCCCGAGGATCGTGAAAAGTCATACCACCCGCTCTCTTTCTGCCCTTGTTATTTTCCGCTTGCAACACTATGTATATCCAGTTTTGGAGATCATATTTCAGAAGCAGTCAGGAATTGCAATGAGTTTATGGGAAGGCTACCAGGAGGGTGAGGGCACTGGAAACCAAGCTCTTTCAGGAATGAATAAAGGAATTAACTTGCAAAAGAGAAAAAAAACTGAGAAGGGAAACATGATAATAAGGATCAAATATCTGAAGGGGTCTATCACACAGAAGAGAGGGGTGGACTTTATTGCCTCCCTGAGGAAATTCTGAATCTGTAGGTTAAAACTCTAAGGGAGTAAGGCTCAGGGTAGATATCAGGAGGTGCTTTGAAACTATTGAGTTCTCCAACAATGAAATGGGCTAACACAGGGGTGTCCAACCTTTCACCTTCCCTGGGCCACATTAGAAGATGAAAATTTGGTTTGGGCCACACATAAAATAAAATAACAGTAACGATACCTGATCATCCCAAAAAACCATAGAAAACATAGTTAACATATTAAATTTATTTGGAAATAAAGTTAGTGAGATGTTTTTATTATTTATTATTAATTATTTATTAAAAATTATTTATTTTTGATCGCGTTTTTTTGATCGCGTTTTTTTATCACAGTTTATTTTCCGGCGAAATTTTGCGGGGGGGGGGAGAAAGCTCGCCTGCCTCACGCCTACCTCTCCTCCTGCAAATAGCCTAGCTGGATGAGGCAGGACTGGAAGGCAGAAGCAGCAGCAGCAGCAGCGGGGGCAGAAGCAGCGGCGGGGGAAGGCTTCTGCCCCCGCCGCCGCCGCTTCCCCCGCCACCGCTTCTTCCCCCGCCACCGCTGCTGCTTCTGCCACCGCCGTTTCTGCCCCCGCCACCACCGCCGCTTCTTCCCCCGCCGCGGGGGCAGCGGCGGCGGTGGCAGAAGCAGTGGCGGGGGCAGAAGCGGCGGGGGTGGCGGCGGGAGAAGAAGTGGCGGCGGGGACAGCAGCAGCGGTGGCGGGGGGGGCGGGGGCGGCGGGGGTAACAGCAGGGGGTGGCGCTCTGACGGCGCCCGCCTTTTCTCTTGCTGCTTGGCCTGGCGCTCGCCTCGCTCCGCCTCGCGCCTGCCTCTCCTCCTCCTTCTCGCTGGCTGTGGCACGATGGTTGGGGTGGGCACTGGGCCGCATTACGAGGCGACCTGGGCCGCATGCGGCCCGTGGGCCACGGGTTGGACAAGCCTGGGCTAACACAAGAAGTTGTGAATTCTCTTTCATGGATGTCTTGAAACAGCACTCAGTGGTTTGTCAGAAGTGCCCTAGGGCAGCATTTTCCAATTTGGACAATTTTGAGTTGTGTGGACCAATTTTCAGAATTCTACTCACATTTACTGGGGATTTCAGGGAGTTGAGGTGCACATACCACAATGTTTCCCAAGTTTGGAAATTCTGCACTAAAGAGGAGTCAGACTAAATGACCCTCTAAAATTCCTTCCAAGTGTATGATTCTGCAGTGTCCTCTTGCTATTTGACGTGTTTCTTGTACTGAACACTTGAAACTGAATGAACATATGAATAGGCTCTAAAAGAGTCTAGTCAGTATTCTACACAAAAGCCCACAGACTGAGTTCATTCACTACATTGTTACAATTTTACATATTTGTTTTGGGTTGAATGTGATATGAACAATGTAAACATAGCCTGAGCAAACCATAGTTAAAATTACTCATGTCTGAGTGTGAACTAGTCAATTGTTCTTTTGCTGTTACTCTTCAAAATTTACTACAGGTAATTCTCAATTTACAAGCATTTATTTAGTGGTCATTCAAAGTTACAAAGGCATTGAAAAAGTGACATAACCATTTTCATACTTATAACTGTCACCTGATCAAAATTTTGGCGCTTGGCAACTGCCGTGTATTTATGGCAGTTGCACTGTCCGGGGGTCATGTGATCATTATTTTTAACCTTCCCAGCCAGTATCCAACAAGCAAAAACAATGGAGCCAACCTAGATTCACTTAATAATCCCATATTCATTTAATAACTATAGTGTTTCACTTAACTGTGAGAAAATGGTTGTAAAATGGTGCAACACTTACTTAATAGCTGCCTTGCTTTGCAGTAGAAATTTTGGGCTCCATTTTGGTCATAAATTGAGGATTGCCTGTACAGTTGTCTGACAATGAAGATGAATTCATGTATGTTGGGGTGAAGAAAACTTCATTTTACAAATGATCCATAAAGTTAGTATTGTTTTCCACTGGATGTATAGTATCTTCCAAGCCATATTAGATGCAAGTGTCATTGATTCAGTGACTTGCAAAGTGCAGCTTTTCTCTATTATTATTTTTTAAGTCAACAATTAAAATGCTGGATCTGTCTGTCTTGATCTGAATTCAGAAGCTCAAAAAGATAGAAAGTGTTAGGGTGCATGGAAAATCTCCAGGGATATCAGGGCAACGGAGTACACTGGGAATTAAAAAACAATCCTATAGGAAGGCAGGGCACACCACTTGCAACCATTTCAAATTACAACAGCTACTTACAACCTGTTTTTGAAATTCCAATGGCAGCACACATAGCCTGCAATCACGTGATTGTAACCAGCTCACATTTATTAATTTTCATGGCTTTTTGTCATGTGATGACAATTTTCTACTTTTATTTACTAGTTTCTTTGGTGGGAAGGGAGAAATCAATGTTAAAAAGAGGCTCAGTTAAAACTGCTGTGTAGGCTTAACAAATGCAGCATTCGTTTAATGGCCATCACCAAAAAGGTCCTAACATCAGGCACAATCATGTGGTGTCTCCTTTAATGACCACAAGCTTACAACCATGATTCCAGGCACAATTACAGTCATAAGTTGAGGGCTATTTGTACATGGATTTGTTCATGAATTCACCCAATGTTTAATCTGTAGTCTGCATGGGACTTTATTTAAAATGTTGCATAACTAGCAAATTTGTTACTATTTTTTCTCCAAAAAAAGTTTCTTTCTTTCTTTTTTTTAGAAAAACTTTATTAATTTTACCATTGACAACATTTTAACTGTTTTCCCCATTCTATCCCCCCTTTCCCTTACCCTTCCCTCTCCTCCCTCATTTGCCCTTCTCTCTTTCCCTCTCGGCCTCTGCCAAGGCCTGTTTGTTTCTCTTCTGTATATAATTTGTAGATGTGTTGTTTTTAATGGCTCCCAAAAAAGTTTCTAATGTATAGGATCAAAATAAAAGGAAACAATATAATTATAATTAGAAAATGTTTATTATCAAATCTTTACTTGTTCTTTAATATTTCCTCTCTTTTTTTATAAAACAGATGGAAACCACTCATGTCCAGGTAGACTCTGATCAGATAAAAGAGAAGAAAAGTTTGGATTTTGTTTGTGCAACAACTCTGTCTAAAAATATAGCTGGATCTAAAGCAGTTGAGAAGAATTCTAAGCCTTTAGGACTCAGTGCCATTAATCCTGAGATTTTTCAGATACAATCTTTTACAGGCACTGGATCTCAACAATTTATTTTATGTAATTCTTTTAAACCTACAGTTCAACTACTTCTACCGGCCCCCTTACATCCCCCTGGACAAGTGCCAGTAAGTAAAATAATTACACGTGGGCAGAAACATAAATCCATTACAAAAGATAGAGAAGATTCTTCAAATGTTTTTTTGGTTCCAACTTGTTCAGCAAAAACTCCTATAAATGAAGGGAAGCAACCAAAAGAGCAAAAGATTAAAAAATCTCTGAAAGTGACAACTCGTTCTGGGCGGATTTCTCACCCTCCCAAATATAAAGTTAAGGACTACAAATTTATTAAAACAGAAGACTTGGCTGACTGTCACCCATCTGATTCTGATGACTATTCTGAGCTGAGCTTAGAAGATGATGAATGCAACAAAGTAAAGGAAGCATGTGAATTATTAAACCCCTTTAACTATGACCTGCGGCCAAAATTGTTTAAGTGTCAAAACTGTGAAAAATCCTACATAGGAAAAGGAGGATTATTACGGCACTACAAAATAAATCCAGGCCATGGGCACCAAGAGACTTCAGAATCTTCTATAAATAGATTTTCTAGAATGACACAGCTGGAGTGTGCTGAAAAGGCAAATTGTGAAAGCAACCATCAACCTTCTCCACCTTTACCAGTTACTCTTGCTTTAGTAAGCAAACATGGACTAACTATAGAATTGGAAAAAAATATTGAACCAGAAAGTGAACAGCAGGTAATACATATTCTTTGTTAATGCATTTAAAGAGAATGAGCTATAATCCGGTGCTACTACTGGTATTTTAGAGTGATATCCCACCCACTATTTAAAAAAACCTGCTAAACCAATTAATAAAAGGAAAGAATAGATACAAGAAATTAATGAAATGATATTTGCAAAAACATTACATAGATAAAACGAGGAGGAAGGAGTCTGGCTAATTATAAATATAAGAATTCTAAGAAAAATGACTTGCAGGATCCAATCTGGGGCAGTCACTGGGATCAGAGGTTTTGT